AACCGCAGGTTGTTTCTGTGTCCGTGCACTTTATTACACGTCTGTTTTTCAGGATTTTCTTTTTTTTTTTCTTCAGTGTTTAGTCTCGTCACTGATGGAGTCACAGCATCAGAGCTGCAGGAATCTGGGACAGACTGGACAAAACACTGGTCATGAGGCACAGGGACGAAGACCAACAGTCAGAAACTGGACTGACTGACTGATGACTGACTGATGACTGACTGGTACAGGCGGGGACATGTGGACCTGTTGGCCAGGACAGTCCAGTTCAAGTCAACGTCTCTGAAACATCAAAAATCAAACAGTGTTTTATACAGAGCTCTAACCTCCGTCACCTCCGTCACCTCCGTCACCTCTGTTCTCTTTTCTCTCCATCATTTTTTTTTTGACCGTTTCATGACGTGCCTCGTGAACAACAGCTGCTCCACAGTCGAGGCTTGGCCTCAGTGGAAACTCATTCAGTTCTAACGACAGAAGAACTCGACGTTTTTCCTCCAAACACGTTTGGATTTTTCAAACCAAATCACAGTGATTTTTCATTTTGATTTTTCATTTGAAAACCACGTACGGAGCGACTTCATCTAGTGGTTATTGTTGTTTTCAAAATTAATTCATTAATTACATATAAATTCTACTGCTGTTTATAATTTCTTGCAGTAAATCAGAAAAAAACATGTTTTTATATAAAATAAAGAAAGTCTGATGATAATGTTTCTGTTTTGGTGAAACATATCTTTAAAAGACTGTGATTTAGAAAGAAAAAAGAAAAAAGGTTTAGATAAAAAAACTTTTTAAAGAAAAAGTTCATCTCAGACCTCGACCTTTACGGTTTAGAACCTGAAACCTCCAAAAACCGTAGCGACTCGGACCTGCTCCCTCATATTTAGTCAGAAACACGCCCAGCGTCACGCTGTTGACACGTGGTTTGACCTGTTTGAAGAACAAAGGAAGCTCTTTGATCATTGTCCCATACATTGACCAAAGGTGTTTGTGCGATGTTTGATCTGGTCACGTGACGCTCGGCCCGGACGTCCACGGTCGTCCAGGTGAATATTTACACTCGAGCCGCCAACCGTCTGCTGACTTTTTCAAACGTAGGTGTAGTTGATCAACACAGCTGTACACTGAGCCACCGCGTCGCCTCCCAGCAGGTGTCAGTGTCAACAAACACTGTCAAAATGTTTACACTGCTTCAAATATTCATCAACCAAAAATAGGCTTCTGTACGACCCGTGTCAACAGGGGGCGCTGTGATGGGCTCCACCTAAGAACATGAATATATTTCTACACTACCGTATGTTTCAACAAACCAGAGAGAATGACTACCGTAATGACTGGACTAAAAGTCGCATTTGTCCACCCCCCCATTAGTCTCCACTGAGCATTAATGTTGAAAACCACTCGTCCAACATCATCATCTCATCATTTCTCTGGTGTTAATTAGACTCATTAATAAAGACACAGTCAACAGTTGGAACATGTGGGAGGTGTCGGGGGGGGTGGGGGGCTCCACCGCTGGGTTGAACATTAATGTGTGTGTGTGTGTGTGTGTGTGTGCGTTTGGCGCCTGACTGCGTTGACAAACACAAAGGTCCTGCTCAGAGTTTCCCCTCCACCTCTGGTACCAGGGGCACCTGTGGCCCAGCGAGGCGTTCACGGGTCACGTACCAACATCCTGTCACATTTACATGAACAATGACACAGAGGAAGTGTCGCTGCTCGCAGCAGCCGACGCTCTCAGCGTGGCTCAGGACGCGCCGCGCTCTTTACCTGTATGTGGCGTCCGTCCGCAGTACCCAGGTACACCACCGTGCGGCCGTGAAGCGGAACCACAGTTATGGCGGTGACCAGCGTGTCGGTCAGCTCTTTGTGCCAGTACTCCAACCTCTGCACGAACTGGGTCACCTGCAGCCGGTACTTGCCCTCTTTGCCCTCGTGGATGCCCTCATGTGGGTCACAGTCGTCAGACGTGCTCTGCAGAAAAACACAGAAAAACACAGAAAAACACAGGAAACAGAGAAAGATTTAGGATTTGTTGTAGCTTCAAATGAAACTTTACATTTTTTAATTTCTGTCAACGTAACTTGACTATTTGTTTAACTTCTATTTCTGTATCTTTTGTTAAAGTTCCTCAGTGTTATGTTTAGCTTCTGGACTAACTTTCTTTCTAACTTTCTAACTTCACATATATGAACTAGTTGGAGTCATTTTGACTTTTATTTTCAAAGATAACTTTTGGCATATACTTAGTGGGATTATTTTTATAGGTTCCCTTTATTTCTAGCTAAATTCTAACCCATCTCAGGATAACTCTTTACTTCATTTGTGTTTTCCTGTTTGGCCTAAATTTATTTCTCTTTATATTTGGTCAACCTTTGATAAAGAACAAATCAGATTTATTAAATACATTTTTCTTCTTCTATATTTGTCATCCATATTCATCTCCTGTTTGCTGTGACTGATCAGCAGATCTGACTTGTTATATAATATCATGTTGAATTCTCTCTTTCATTTCTCCACTAATGGGGAGGGGGTTAAAAGCCACAGCTAAGCCCCTCTTAGCTCTTCTTTCACCAGACCGTGCTCGTAATGGAGGTCTCGCCGTGATAGCGCCCCCCCCAGGGCAACTACATGTTTGGTTGAAGAGTGCGAGACTTCATGGGAAAAAGTGAAGACACTTTCACGCTGTTTTTAAATTCCACAAACATTTTCTTCCTCCTCTCTCCAACATGGCACACAATCTGCCCCCCCCCCCAGCCCTCTCCCCCCTCTGGGTTCAGACCGTTGTGTCTGGGGCTTTTGAAGCGTACAGTGAAATCTCAGAGCGGGGTCCAGTAACTGCCCCTCTCTTCTCTAACTGCCCAGCCTTGTCCACTTTCCCCGACCCTTTTTGAGTTTAGTCACGGCCCCCGTCCCTGCCTCAGGTTTCATTAATTATTAATGACCCCTCCCCCGGTGGACCCTTCAGGTCCTTGACCTGGCCGCTTGACCGGAGCTGAGCTGCTGTTGTTTTCTCAGCTTCACTGGTTAATGACCTTCTCAGTGGAGCCACAGGAGCAGCAGCAGGTTGAACCATTACGACAGAGCTGGATGTTGTTGTTCACGCTCACCAGCAGTACCTCACTCTGCCACCAGGACGTACAGTTTACACCAGACAAACTTCATTCTAATCATTTACAGACTCTGTCTGAAACAACTGCCCCGGTCAGGATCAAAGCCTTTGAAGAGCAGAGAAAGTGGCTCCACTGGTCACCTGACCAACACGCAGCGACAAACCTGCGTCAGATCCAGAAGAGTCAGGATATGAGCAGGAAATTGAAAACTGGCAGAGACGGAGTGATTTTTTTTGCCAAAGACATAAAAAGACGATGAGACGATGAGACGATGGCCAGCTGATCTGGACCGAGTTATTTGGCTTCGGAGCGAGGACTGGAAGTTCAAAGGAGCGACAGTTTACGTCAGCAGATGTTTGGACCGTGGACGGAGGAGACAGTGACACGTAGGGAGGACGAGACCACGGTTTGAACATGTGACGACGAGGTCAGAGGAAACAGACTTCTCTTTCTTAAACCTGGTCGACAGAAAACCTCGACGTGTCACTTTGGTGACCAACACACACACACACACACACACACACGTTTTATTAACCTCTGTTTATATTAACCTGAGCCTCTGCCTCCTCTTCCACCACCTGCAGATGGCGCTATAAATACATTTAATGTTCTTGTTCTGTCAATAAAAAAATCAAATAATAAAATTTGCAAATATTATTGTCAATAAAAAAAATCAAATAATAAAATTTGCAAAACTAAAAAGAGAGAGAGAGAGAGAGAGAGAGAGAGAGTTATAAGTCTCATCCTCAGAGCTGATCCCAGCCCTCCCACCTCCTTAAACTTATTCATTTCCAGCTCTGTCCATTTAAATGGACAACTCCAATCACATGGTGTCTTTTTACCACAGGTAAATCATTTCCACTGAGAACGAGCCAATCACCAGCCATAAAGACCACGGATTGTTTTCATTATTTAAACCAAATAAACTCCTTCAAACAGTTGGAAGGGCAGCGACCTGAACCTAATTAGACGAGGTCAGGACCACACTTTGAGAACCCGACCACAAAGAGCCGTCCTGGCTGCAGAGATTACGCCACGCGGCTCAGAAAACAGTCCTCGGGCCTGGTTATTTTCAGAGCAAACAAACGTTCGTTGGAGCGGAGCAGGACAACGGGAGGCAGAGGCAGAAACGGTCCGCGGGCCATTCCTGGTCCCCGGGCTGAGGCATTCTGGGAGATCAAGGCGGTGGAATGGGACTGTTTGGACGGCCTCTCATTTGAAGCTCCTCTCCTGTTGTCCTTGGCTGCCTCTGGGCACAGGGACGGAACATTCTAGAGGACGTCACACTGACACTCCACTTTTTCAAAGTGAGCACCGAAAAAAAATCAGAGCTGGAGGAGAATCTGTTCATTAACAAAGTCAAATAAAACATGATCAACAAGACGTCTGACACAAGAGAGAGACAGACAGACCTCATTCACACTCACTCACTCACGTTAGCATAATTATTATCTGTAAGAATCTGTATCGGTTTATTTTCTGTCCGATAACGCAAATCCTGGGTTTCGACAAATACGCTGGAATCACTGTTGGGCTCTGAGACATTTACAGCTGCAAATATTGATGTCAGAATCAGACATAAAGTGTTTGCACAACATCAGTTTATCAGATTACGACGTATAAACCTATATCCGACCTCCCCCCCAAACAGAATCATCTTT